AGCAAGGCCTGTGGTACGTCAGTCACCAGACATGGATATTGTTCAAGAAACATTTGAACAAATTATTTTAACAAAGGAAAAAGATAAAGTAATTCTTACATTTGTCAATAGCGAAAATAACGGAGCAGTAGGGGGAACAGCAGGGAGCACAACACAAGAACCAGATCACGCACCAGCAGAAGAGCATCCAATTACATGGGGTGATGAAAAAATAGACAGTGAATTTAAAGAAGCCAAAAAAGTGAAAGAGACGTTTGGAAGTGTGTCAGTCATGAACAATGATATCGATCAATATCTAGAGGCTATGCCTGTTGCTCGTCCAACAATAGAAGAGGATAATGTGCAGGACACATTTGAAACTATCAAAACTTGTACTGATGAAAATAAAGGAGCAACAGTGGATGGCACAACACAAGAAACAGTTTTTGTATCAGAAAACTATAAGGTCACAGAGAGTGATGAAGAAATGGAAAGAAGTTTCAAAGAAACCACAGCAACCCTGAATGAAGAACTACCAATGGAGGAAAAGCAGATAAAGAGAAAGACTTCAAATCAGCCATCTACAAAAGTAAAGGAGATGTCAGGCATGCTATCACTACTCAATAGTGACATGGACACGTACCTCAAGGAGAGGCCAGTGAAATATAGACCTCAAGAAAAGGACGCCATCCAGGAGACATTTGAACAAGTTACCCTCACCAAAAACCAAAAATCTTCTAAAACACATCAGGTAAGTAGTACTGACGTGGATGATAATATAAGTGCAGAAACATATGAACATTCTGATGTGGTTGAAATCAAGGAACTTACGCCAGGTTCTGTATTGGAGGCATCATTCCAAGAAGTTTGCATGGAAATACATCCTGAAAAGTCTACAACTGAGAGGGATATGTCAGGCATGTTGTCGCTTCTCAGTGGTGACTTGGATCAATGTCTCAAAGAAAAGCCAGTGGCAATACAATGCCACCCAGAAAAAGCAGATCTAGTCCATGAGAGCTACAAACAAGTTACACTGACGAGTAGTAACTCAGAGGAAAATATTGATGTAAAAACAAATGAAGACAACCAGACCAACGTAGTTAGAGTCACAGAATTGTCTCCAAGCTCTGTATATGAAACACCATTGGAAGAAGTTTGCATTCAGAGGAAGTCACAGCAAGAAAAGTCTGCAACTGAGAGGGATATGTCAGGCATGTTTTCGCTTCTCAGTGGTGACTTGGATCAATATCTCAAAGAAAAGCCAGTGGCAATACAATGCCACCCAGAAAAAGCAGATCTAGTCCATGAGAGCTACAAACAAGTTACACTGACGAGTAGTAACTCCGAGGAAAATATTGATGTAAAAGCAAATGAAGACAGCCAGACCAACGTAGTTAGAGTCACAGAATTGTCTCCAAGCTCTGTATATGAAACACCATTGGAAGAAGTTTGCATTCAGAGGAAGTCACAGCAAGAAAAGTCTGCAACTGAGAGGGATATGTCAGGCATGTTGTCACTGCTCAGTACGGACTTAAATCATTGCTTAAAGGAAAAGCCTATGGTTTTACAATGCCCCCCAGAAGAGCAGGTAGTCCTTGAGAGCTACACGCAAATTATACTAACTAAGGAAACTAACAGGGAAAGTCTTTCAAATTCCCCTGAACATAGGATGTCACCACAAGAAACACACTTAGAATTTGTGGACTTTAATGAAAAGAAAGCCTTGAAAAGTGGATGGCAGACATGTTCCCACGAAGATGAAGGACCCAAGAGCTTTTCAGCTGAAACAAGTGAGGCTAAAACCTCACCGTGTGCAGCATCATATTTCCATGACTCTACTGATGAGGCGTTCTGCAATACAAAGTCACATTTAGCAATTAATGACTGTAATAATGATCATAAAGACACATATTTGCAACTACCGAGTAGTTCTGACACATCACAACGGCCGTTTCATTTGGAGAACTTAAACACTGTGGTTGATAGTGACCCAATTATAATGGCATACCATCAAGACTCGCTAGAGGCAAGTCCTGTAATGGAGGATAGATCTTCAGACAGATCCCCGGATTCAATTGAGCCAAGCCCTAGCAGAGAATCTCCTTGTCCAGACTCTCTTGAGGGAAGTCCCACTCAATCTAAAGAGTCAGAATTTGAGATTCCAGCCAAGACGGCTGTATACGAGGATTATGCCTCACAGCTTAAAGCATGTTATAATTATGACAACAATATCTACATGGATGACAGTGAACGTGGTGAGCCAGAAATCAACTACGAGATCATCCAAAATGAAAGGGGGATTAAGGAGGACATTCCTTCCTGCTCAGAATCCATAACTGACAGCAACATATGCGACAGCAAGAATCTTCACATGTTCATAAGGCAAGACTCTCTCGAAGCAGACGATAGTGAGAATGATGCCACCAATAAACATCTCACCCCAGAAGAGGATATGTTCAAAATGGCAGCAAAGATCAAAACATTTGATGAGATGGATCAGGAATATAATATGAAGAGAGACAAATTAGAGACAGGGGATCTCAGAGAAGATCACCCAGATCAAAACGTTGGCCCAGGTTTAAAGACCTTCTCACAAAATACACCTGAGACACTTAGTGAGGCAACAGGTATTAGTGTTCAAATTAAAGAGGAGGTGGAAAATCAGTCACAACTATCTGTCTTGCGGTCAGCAGAAGGAGGACCGGATATATATACAGATAAATATGCTGTAGAAGGTGACCAGCCATCTGTAACTGAAACACCTTTTACCAGTCACGTGAAAGGTGAGCACCATTCAGATGATGACAACAAAGTTGAGTCACCACTTACAGGTTCAAGTGATGTTAGTCAATCTCATGCTATGGTGTGTACTGAGGAACAAGAATCTGTCATTGCAGGGTTTAAGGTTAAGAATGATGCAGTCCCAAATTCACAGCTTGAGGCTGAGGAACATATTAATATTAGTCCTTCAGACGACCGTAAAACTCCTGATAAAACACCTGTTCGAACCCCTAGTGACAAGAGAACCCCTGATCCATTCCAGTTTCAAGAGGGAAAGCTTTTTGAAATGACCAGAGGGGGAGCTATTGATATGACAAGAAGTGTTGATGAAGGAGAAGCATATGCGTTTTTCCATATAGGGGAACATTCAGTGGATGAAGTTGTACCAAAGATGACTGGGGAAGGTCAAACAGAGTATTTATCTTTAGAGAATAGTGATTATATTACAGAAACAACTCTTCAAGAGTGTCAGGGTGCCAATAAAACCATTCCTACTCCCAAACCCAGAACTCTCATCAAACACTCAAGTGACAAGTCAGAGAGCGGGAAGCCACTTTGTGAAACTAATCTTGGCAGTTCCGTAGAGGTTCAGCTTGGTTCCCCCAGTTCTATGGAGAGACTTACCATCATTCAGAGTGACGTTGGAAATCTTGAGAGCCTTGGACTTGGTTATCTGGACTCTACCATTGCAGACCTTCAATCAGAGATAACATTAACAGTAACCTCAAAGCAGAGCCATGGTTCCTCAGAATCCTCTCCTGATGATGATGATGAGGAGGAGGAGGAGGAGGAAGATGAGGAAGATGAAGAAGATCAGTGCTCGGTTATAGAGGTGTCCTCAGCATATCATCATGATTCCCCTCCACATTCAGAAATAACCTTGAAAGACTCACAGAATTCTGAGGTTGATTGCGTTAAAAAGAAATTAGATACAAGCTCAACTTTGGAACGTAGGACTAGATCTGAGGCGGATAGCGACACAAATCAATCCTCTAATAAAGCCCACAGGAGTTATTCTGACAGTAGTCAACCAATTGATAAATCCAGCCTTTCCCCTTCCAAATGTCCTGTTATGATGCAACAGAAATCTCCAACTCAGAGAATCACCTCCTTTCACCAAAGGAAAGGAGTCCAACTCTCTACAACAACAGACACACAGTCTTTGGATGCTGATGATCTAAGCAGCACTAGTTACACAAGTCCAGACTCTGTTATCTTCACTTATGACATCCCAGCCTCACACAGTTCTGATTCTGAAGGCAATTCGTTGCCAGTGGTGCAACCATCTTCTGGGAGAGAAGATGTTTTTGAATCAAGGGCTGCCTGGGATGACACAGTGGAAACTCAGATGCAGAGAAACAACGATGAGCCATCTCCAAAATGTATGCCAGGTATGGCCAGACCTACATGAGCTTTTGCTTTCTTATCTCCTGTCCTTGGCAAAAAGACCCATTTTCCTTAGAACATGTCAAGAAAGTCATTTGTGCTGATTTCATGTTTTTTTATTTGTCTCGTGCCATTTTGCAACTCCTTTTCTTTCCTTTTCTTTTTGTATTATTCTGTGTGTGTGTGTGTGTGTGTGTGTGAGTGTGTGTGTGTGTGTGTGTGTGTGTGTGTGTGTGTGTGTGTGTGTGTGTGTGTGTGTGTGTGTGTGTGTGTGTGTGTGTGTGTGTGTGTGTGTGTGTGTGTGTGTTTGTGTTTGTGTTTGTGTATGCGTTTGCGTGTTTTGCATGATGGTTATTTACTTTTACATCTGTTTCTGCAATCTCAAGATTGAATGGCCTTATTGTTAAAGAAGAAGTAGCTTTGACAATTTGTATTGTATTGGTATATCTACTACTAATACAGCTTTACTAATATTAACATCAACACCGCTTTACCAGCACATTATTGTCATTGCTTGTACTAATGATTACAAATATAATGTGCTAATTGTGACCGAATTATCATAGCCTGTAAACAAGTTAGAACTCCTCTTCTTAGTGACAAATCCAACATGTATGTGTTCATTTATGTCAACATTACATACATTTAATTTCAGAGTATAACAGCCTATACCATACAATCCTCACATATTCATTACATAAAGATATGCACATCAAATATTGTGTATATATGACTGGTACCTGCAATGGGAAAAAAGCTTTACTTATATATGTATGGGTAATGGTATTCTACACCTTGAACTATTGACCATGATAATAAAACTTAATGACTGGCTCTTACGGCAATTTCTTTAGTGGATTGGCAGGATGATGCTGACAGGAAAGAGGAGACATTAGCTATCGTTGCAGATCTTCTTGGTTTCAGCTGGACTGGTAAGTTGTCAAATAATGTAATAATTTTGCTAGTATTTTGTCTTTTATGTTGTATGTATCCCTGTTCTAGCTGCTAAACAAATAAAATATGGTTTAATGGTTTACATTGTCATCCCATTTTTAACGCTCTAGAACTGGCAAGAGAACTGGAATTCAGTGAAGATGATATTAAATTAGTGCGAACAGAGAATCCTAATTCCCTCCAAGAGCAGAGCCATGCCTTGCTGCAGCGCTGGGTTGAGCGGGAAGGCAAACATGCCACAGGTACATTGGTCTGAAAGATTTTAATTGACATTTTAGTTGGATTTGTAAATAAAAACACTTTGAATCCTGAATTTCTTAGTTTGAATGTGATGATTTGTGTATCCTATAGATCTATATATTAACACTGTAGATGTAATGTAAACTTACATTTGCAATTTCTAAATCATGACTTTGTTGTGTTAATTATATGTTTGTTTTACAGTTTTTTACTCTATTAATGATTGTTTCAATCTCTCCACAGAGGACTGTCTTATTAAGAGACTAACCAAGATCAACCGCATGGACATTGTCCATCTCATTGAAACCCAGATGAACAAGTCAGTTCAAGAGCAAACATCTAGAACATATGCAGAGATCGAGAAGACACTGGATCACAGTGAAGGTACCCAAATAAACCACCAATTTGAAAGCTCTATCTCAAACCAGGCTATATTTAATTTGTTGTTAGCACAATGTTCAGCTTATTCATCAAGTGTGTGTTTTTTCAGTGTCAGTAGCCCTATCTTTAGTTCAAGAGGATGCAGACAGCCCCCGAATCGTAAGAAGGGTGGAGTCAGACCGCAGACCACCCCCAGCTGTTTCTGAAGAGGACCTATCAGTTGCTTCGCTACTGGATATTACTTCCTGGGCAGAGCCTGCTGGACACACGCACTCAGAGAGCATGCATGGTGACCTGTTGGACGACCTTGAGATCCCACAGTAAATTATTTATTTAAAATAATTCCCTGAATCTGCATCACACATTGACCGCATCAAATTGTCCCACATCATTTGACCTTTCTTGCCCAATAAGCATAAAGACATAATGCTTATTTATTTTTTATGGAGGTTAATATAGAGCAATGTCATTAAACAACAATGTTTAGTCTTGTTAAAATGGGACTTTGACATAATATATTAATGCTAAGTCGTATTTTGTGACATAGTCTTCTTTCTGTGTTACAGTGAATTGAACCCTAACCTGTGGACCTCTGAGGATTTTATTGCACAAGAACCTACAAGTAATGATCATTCTAATGAGCAAGTGAGTACACTTTCCACTTCAAAAGAAGAAGCACTGGGGAGCCACGCAACACAGGTTTATGGCCTCAAAGTGAAAGAACAGCAAGATTGCTGCAGTGTTTATTTCACCAGGTCTTTCCAAGGTGGCCCTCTAATTCAAAGCCAAGTCAAAGATGACACCAGCCAATCATTACCATTGAAGCAGTGTGTTCTGGAAGATGAGCAAGGGCAATCAACTGTATTTCTGAAGTTACCATCATCAATATCTGTCAGAGACTTTGGTTTGAGCCTATCAAAATCAGACCAAGCTGAGACTGACTTCAGTGAGCTTTGCAATAAGTCAAGCTATACACCAGAGCATACAGACACGTCTAAAACCATTGTCAGAAGATGTCAGTTGCCTGACCCTAGCCTGTTAGTCTTACCACCAGAGGACTACCAAACAACTCTGGTCATGACTGAATATGACACAGATGTAGCTAGAAAAAGCAGGTTCTCTCAGAAGTGTACTGATGTACTGTTTGATCATGACAAGATCTCACTGGTTGCAGGTAGAGATAAGGGGTTCAAACACATCAATTCAGGCAAGAAAGATAATACAAAACCCAAAGTGTGCAATGAAGGGTATTGGGGAAACATGCCCTTCATTGATGATTTAATTGAACCCATTATTGCAACAGCAAAGTACAGCATGATGAAACCATTTGAAATGAAGGAACCAGAGACCAAGTTTCCTGGCAGTCTTACAACGAGTTGCCCTTCTTACATGGCTTTTGACTCAACTGATAGCAACTCTCTTGTGCAACAAGCACCTGAGGATGATGTGACATTTCCTTTAACTGTTTTAGAATACAGCCCCTTCACCCCTGATAATTTGGCATCTGAGGAGCAGGGTAGCCCATTGTTACCTGTTAATGAAAGGGGCCTTCTCAGAAGACCTTCCTCGCCAGATTCACAGACTTCTCAGTGCAGTTTCTCATTTGTTGAACTCTTACTCTCAGAACCTATTCGCGCCCAACTTAAGAGTCAATATTGTGATTATTATTTACTATATACAGGGGGAAATCTACCCTTGCAACCACTGACGTCAGTTCCTTACACTACATTCTGCAACTACCCAACTGGACTGCGTCAGGGTGACCCTTTGACAACAGAATTAGTAGCTTCAAATCGTTTGCAATATTCTATGAATGCACCATCACCTCTTGATAAATGTTACGATAAAAAAAGCAGATATGCACCAGGTTTATTGACATGGCAGGTAAGAGCTGAAGAAAGGGCACCGATGTTTGGTACTGATGTTCCAGCCTCAAAATACCTTTCACATTCTGATGTCAAAAGTATCCATAGTGCAGATACAGACTGTTTGAGTCAAAACGAGTCAGGGTCATTTCAGCTATGTCCATCCTCATCCGAAGCACCAAAACCACCACAGAAAAGTAGTGAATCTTTCCTTGATTACTGGTTTTCTAAGTTAAAGCCAAATTCCTCTGAATGCATACAATCACAACGTCATTCAGATGATCATTTAACAAACATTAAACAAAACACCTTAAAGCACAATGAAATACAAAATTCATTCACAAAAAACTCTGATCTCACATATCAAAACAAATCTGGAGAGTCTTGTCACATTTTCCAACAACAACCAACACCCACTCCAATGGTCTTTAACTTGGTGGAGAGACCAAAATTCATTTTTGAGTTTCCAAATAAAATTAGGTTTGATGAGAACAGACGAGATTCTCCGCAGTCAGAAGTTTCAGACTATGCACTTGACGTGTTATTTAGTAGCAGGGCATTGTCTCCGGACTCCATGTCATCTGATTTTGACTTTTCGACCCTGCAGGACTGGTTAGCAGACTTTAGAGCATCATCCACAGAGACAGTGGCATCTCAAAGTGAACATAGGCCACTCTCTCCTGACTCACCTGTTCCTCAGTACAGTTGTCAGTATCTGGGTGAACATGTGGAATTGTCAAGGCAAAGGTCATTTACACCACAATCCTTATTTTCGGATTGGGAAAGCACTGATCTGTGTCTAGAAAACCTATTTGACCCTCCCAGACCAGATTCTCCCCAGTCAGTGTTTTCAGACTATGCACTTGACGTGTTATTTAGTAGCAGGGCATTGTCCCCAGAATCCATCTCTTCTGATTTTGACTTTTCTTTTATGCAGGACTGGTTAGCAGACTTTAGAGCATCCTCCCCAGATTATCTGGAGTCAGTTGGGCAACATTCCTTCTCTTGTGCAATGACATTTGGCCAAATGGAAAGTCAACATTGTGACTACTACTTGCACTACTCTCAAAATGGACCAGTATCACCTTTTTCAACGCTGTCAGATATTGAGTATTACGGATTCTGTCTCGAGGAATTATTTGATGAAAATAGACCAGATTCGCCAGATTCATCTATCTTACCAGTTGGTGCTGAACAATCAAGCATAACTATATCTGGGCCTTCACCATTGTCCACAGCAAGAGCTCTTACATATGCAGATGTTGTGCGAGGCCTAACGCATGAAAGTATAGCAGAAGCTTTGTTGGTCTGCAAAACATTTGAATTTGTTCCTATTGGGCCTCAGTTAGAGTCATCAGACAACAAGTGGACTCACTCCTCAATAGAGGACTGGGTCACAAAAGTGGAATCACAGTCTCCCAAGGCAGTGGCATCTCATAGTGGACAAAGAACACTTTCTCCTGACTCACCAGTTCCACAGTTCAGATTTCCCCATATCTGTTACGATTCGGAATTGTCAAGGCAAAGGTCATTCACACCACAATCCACATTTTCAGACTGGGAAGGTACTGATCTGTGTCTAGAAACCATATTCGACACTGCCAGACCAGATTCTCCCCAGTCAGTGGTTTCAGACTATGAACTTGACGTGTTATTTAGTAGCAGGGCATTGTCGCCGGACTCCATGTCATCTGATTTTGACTTTTCGACCCTGCAGGACTGGTTAGCAGACTTTAGAGCATCATCCACAGAGACAGTGGCATCTCAAAGTGAACATAGGCCACTCTCTCCTGACTCACCTGTTCCTCAGTACAGTTGTCAGTATCTGGGTGAACATGTGGAATTGTCAAGGCAAAGGTCATTTACACCACAATCCTTATTTTCGGATTGGGAAAGTACTGATCTGTGTCTAGAAAACCTGTTTGACCCTACCAGACCAGATTCTCCCCAGTCAGTGTTTTCAGACTATGAACTTGACGTGTTATTTAGTAGCAGGGGATTGTCCCCGGAGTCCATGTCATCTGATTTTGACTTTTCGCACCTGCAGGACTGGTTAGCAGACTTTAGAGCATCATCCCCAGAGTCAGTGGCATCTCAAAGTGAACATAGGCCACTCTCTCCTGACTCACCTGTTCCTCAGTACAGTTGTCAGTATCTGGGTGAACATGTGGAATTGTCAAGGCAAAGGTCATTTACACCACAATCCTTATTTTCGGATTGGGAAAGCACTGATCTGTGTCGAGAAAACCTATTTGACCCTACCAGACCAGATTCTCCCCAGTCCGTGTTTTCAGACTATGCACTTGACGTGTTATTTAGTAGCAGGGCATTGTCCCCAGAATCCATCTCTTCTGATTTTGACTTTTCTTTTCTGCAGGACTGGTTAGCAGACTTTAGAGCATCCTCCCCAGATTATCTGGAGTCAGTTGGGCAACATTCCTTCTCTTGTGCAATGACATTTGGCCAAATGGAAAGTCAACATTGTGACTACTACTTGCACTACTCTCAAAATAGACCAGTATCACCTTTTTCAACGCTGTCAGATATTGAGTATTACGGATTCTGTCTCGAGGAATTATTTGATGAAAATAGACCAGATTCGCCAGATTCATCTATTTTACCAGTTGGTGCTGAACAATCAAGCATAACTATATCTGGGCCTTCACCATTGTCCACAACAAGAGCTCTTACATATGCAGATGTTGTGCGAGGCCTAACGCATGAAAGTATAGCAGAGGCTTTGTTGGTCTGCAAACCATTTGAATTTGTTCCTATTGGGCCTCAGTTAGAGTCATCAGACAACAAGTGGACTCACTCCTCAATAGAGGACTGGGTCACAAAAGTGGAATCACAGTCTCCAAAGGCAGTGGCATCTCATAGTGGACAAAGAACACTTTCTCCTGACTCACCAGTTCCACAGTTCAGATTTCCCCATATCTGTTACGATTCGGAATTGTCAAGGAACAGGTCATTCACACCACAATCCACATTTTCAGACTGGGAAGGTACTGATCTGTGTCTAGAAACCATATTCGACACTGCCAGACCAGATTCTCCGAAATCCGTTTTTTCAGACTATGAACTTGATGTGTTATTTAGTAGCAGGGGATTGTCCCCGGACTCCATGTCATCTGATTTTGAATTTTCGCACCTGCAGGACTGGTTAGCAGACTTTAGAGCATCCTCCACAGAGTCAGTGGCATCTCAAAGTGAACATAGGCCACTCTCTCCTGACTCACCTGTTCCTCAGTACAGTTGTCAGTATCTGGGTGAACATGTGGAATTGTCAAGGCAAAGGTCATTCACACCACAATCAACATGTTCAGACTGGGAAGGTACTGATCTGTGTCTAGAAACCATATTCGACACTGCCAGACCAGATTCTCCCCAGTCAGTGGTTTCAGACTATGAACTTGACGTGTTATTTAGTAGCAGGGGATTGTCCCCGGACTCCATGTCATCTGATTTTGACTTTTCGACCCTGCAGGACTGGTTAGCAGACTTTAGAGCATCCTCCACAGAGACAGTGGCATCTCAAAGTGAACATAGGCCACTCTCTCCTGACTCACCTGTTCCTCAGTACAGTTGTCAGTATCTGGGTGAACATGTGGAATTGTCAAGGCAAAGGTCATTTACACCACAATCATTATTTTCGGATTGGGAAAGTACTGATCTGTGTCTAGAAAACCTATTTGACCCTACCAGACCAGATTCTCCCCAGTCAGTGTTTTCAGACTATGCACTTGACGTGTTATTTAGTAGCAGGGCATTGTCCCCAGA